GGACCTAATAGCTGGGCTAGAGTTGGGGTCCTTCATGGAAATAGTCAGCCAACATGAGTTAAAAATAGACCAAGTAATGTTTTGGGCTATTCTTGTAGTCAGTAAAATTATAGGTCATTATAAGTAGCTGATAGTGCTAAGATAAATTCAGACAATTATTCTAAGTTCATGGACAAGACATTATTTGAGTTGCATAGGTCATAACCAACAAGCTTTCCACTAAAATGTATATTCATCCTTCACGCACAGCAAAGTTTATTATTGGCCACTCACGAAACAAAACAAAAAACACACCACCAAATTCATGGGATAGCTCCCAGTCTCAACTGATATTAATCCTGTTCTGACCTTCACAGATAAGACCTGCCATGCCACGTACACTCAGACAAACCATATCCATATCTTACACACATAAAACAGCTCTAACTTAAGTGACACTTGGGCCTTGTATGAACATTAGTATAAAAAAAAAAAAAAAAAAAATTGCAGCCTATCATTAAATAGATAAGCATGGAAAACAATATTAAAGTTCTCTGGAAAAACTGTTGCAAATATGTCAAAAAAGTAGAAAAGTTAAAACAAATGACCAAAAAAATAATTAAAAAACAAAAACAAACTTTTTTTTTTAACTATTTCACTCCATGCAAGACAACAAAGCCACTAAGATACAGGATGTTACCAAGAATGAAAGAAGAAAAAAGCATTATTAAGGAATGAGAACAATAAAAGAACAGAAATTAAAAAAGACAGAAGATAATGATTGACATTGCATTTAAATTTCTGAAGATCAAAAGTGATTGCAAACCAAGAAGTCAGAAAAGAGTTCCACAAGTGAGAAGTATGAGAAAGGAAACAGTTTGCATAATGAAATGTGACACTCCCAAAATAAGTTTATAATCAATGTGTTTTATAAGCTGAAACGTGACATTAATCATATAAATATACCCTGAAAATTTCTTGGCAACATTAGTTGGTTAATACTAATTTTATCATGAAAATATTGACTTGCATAATAGAATGTAAATTAAAATTTACTAAATTTGCTAGTTACAATGTCAAAATTTGATCAAATCACAATAAAAAAACTCAATAACTTTTTAGTCTTAATATTTTTCTATGTACAAAGTTTTTATTGAATTAAGAATTCTTTAAAATTTTAAATTCATCAATAATATATTGATAATCTCTGGGCCCAATCATAAAGAGAGTTAAAAAAAAAATACTCATATTTGCTCATTTGATTTTAATTTTTCAGCATTCACTTCTACCAATTTATTAATAGTTATATAGGAATATTTATTTTGTGCTTTGGCAGATCATATAATGTGGATATCATGGGCTGATATTTTATATAGGAAGACCATATTTTAGATTATTTTCATAGGGTTTTGTAAATATTTCCATATCTTTCTTTATAGTTGCTAGGTTTGTATTTTTTATATGTTTTATTATCTACTAGCACCATTGTCAGTTTTTCATGGTATGTGCCTATGTTAATAATTACGAAATGAACATTGAAGCATACATAGTAATTATAAACACAGACACATACCATGAAAAACCGACAATCTTGCTAGCAGATAATAAAACCTATGAATAAACAAACTTAACAAACATGTTGAAATATTTACAAAATCTTATAAAAACACAAATTAAAAACAATATCTTGGCATGCCAGATATCACCCCCACTACACCCACATTATTAGTATTAGTAAACACTTGATAATTTATTTTCATTAAACTACTGTTTCAATTTTTACGCAAGGATTGCATGCATAAAGAAATATCAAATTTTGAGAAGTGTTTCTGGCCAATAACCACTATCAAGGAGTGAAGGTAGTTAAAATAATAGCAGTGTAAATAGAAATACTATTATTTTACAAAATAAAGTGATATGCAGGAAGATAAAAAATCGGATTTTGCTTCTTTGTTTCAAACTGGCCCAGTTTGTTTTAGAAATGTTAGAGGTGAATAGAAAGTTATGCGCCATTTGTAAAGTTTAATTTATAAATTGATCACAGTAACAGATAAACAACAATGAAATAGAACAATTATAACAATATACTGTAATAAATGTCATGTGACAGAAGATTTGGCAAATATGGACCATCATGCCAGCAAAAAAAATGGAGGGTCAAAAGGATGGATTTTCCCATGACAGCACTTTTATTGTAACTATCTTCACTCTTCAACAATGTTTGTTTTAAAAAGTAATTATTTTTTTTATTTACAAGAATAATTTTATAACAGTTTGAAAATTAATACAATTAAAACTAAAGCAATGCAATATTTAAGTATTTACCAATTTATAAAGAAATAAATATGAAAACAATTTTTATTCATAAATATATAAACATTTACCAAAATTATTAAAATATGTGAACCATCTGTAAGCAAATCCTTATTATTTACCATTTTATAAAGTTTGAGTCAATTGGCAAGTAGTCAATGCTTTGCCAACCATTCCGATATAGTGTAAATAAACAATCTAATAAATAGATAGTTTTTAGAACAAAGAAAATGTATAAATTCACTTTCCTCATGTTTAGGTTTTGTTACAATTCTAATAATTGCTTTTTAAAACAATAAACACTATCAAGGAGTGAAGGTAGTTAAAATAATAGCAGTGTCAATAGAAATACTATCATTTTGACACTACATTTTTTTGCAGGCATTGAAGGTCCATGTTTGCCAAAGATTTGTTCTTACTGTAGATCTTATTAGACACAATAAAATATTAATAACAATAACTAATAATAAAATAAACAATTATAACAATATACAGGGGGTTCTTGACTTATGACAGAGTTCCATTCCTATGGTGTGTTGTAACATGATTTTCTGTGTAAGTCGGGACATAACTGCAATTTTCCATGAATAAAGACTTATGCCATTCACTTATGTTAATGCAATAATAAAGTAATAATCTAGGACATAACACATTTCTATGACATATGTTAACATAATTAAGTTTAAAAAACATATGGAGGGCATAAATATAATACATATAATGGAATGGAATTGTTTTAAGCTGCTTGTATATTTATGCCAGTGATCTTATTGGCTTTTGGTAAAAGAGTTGACAAAATGTAAGATCTTGTCTCTCAAGCAGTACTCAGAAGCAGTAGAAAATCTGGAGAAGAAAGAAAAACAAACAGTTGTTTTTTTTTTTTTTTTTTTTTTTATCAGGATTTCACCAATTTATGTTTTAACAAGAAAATGATGTCCTTACCTCCATATGAGACAAACAGCATAAATTAAAACGAGATAAATGGAGACAGCGTCATAATCACAAATTGTTGTAGATCAGCACTGTCGTAACCTGAGGACTTATTGTATTTATTAGAATAAAAATTATATTATGTATAGAAGATTCATTCTGACCATAGAAACCTCACAATATGATTTAACTTTCCTTATTAAGCTGCGAACTCTGACCTTTTCATCTGAAGCTCTATATAGAGTTTCTCTTTAACGTATCCAATTACTATTTTTGCACTTTTGAACCAAATTTCCACAATCATAAAAGATGTTAGGAGAAATAAGTCTATTGAGGGAGTGTCATCATGCATGACAAGCATTAGCACCCATCAGCAATCAGATGGTTAGGTTTAAGGTTCCAAGTTCTCCACACAAAATTGTCCCTAGTTGGTTTGTGAAATTGATGACATAGTAATTGTAACTGAATGCATGATTGTTATTAAAAGGGACAGCCCAACATGCAAATTACAGATTGGAGAAACAGGTGCAATAATTTAGATATCTGAGAAGCATATCAACAGAGGTCGGAAGGTACAACACGGAAATCTGAAGGTGCATTGAAATAGTAAAAGCAGCTTTTCAAAAGCTGAACAAAATGTTAAGCGAATATTGTTAGAAACAAAGAAAACAGTACTGAACTGTTATGTAGCATCATTCCTCTGATATGGCAGTGAATGCAGGACAATCTCCTTACAGATGAAGAAGAGGCTTGAAACAAATGAAATGTGCTTCTACAGAAGGATGCTGAGAATACCACTGATCAAACATGTGAGCAATGACAAAATTCTAGTGATAATGGTAACAAAAAGACACTTATACATAACACCAGGAAGAGATAGTTGAAATTTCTAGGGCACATAATGAGGAAAGAGGGCTTGGAAAATTTGATACTCACAGGATAGACTGAATGTAAGAGAGCCAGAGGAAAGTAACACATAACCTACTTGGTGAGCTTGAGTGAATGAATGGCAAAGCAGGGTTTGGGAGAGATGGCAAAAAGACAAAAAGTTAAAAAGGACTGGACATTGTGGAGAGCCATGATTGTTAACATTCTGAAGAAACACAGCACAGAGACGTAATTGTGATTTAAATCCCTTGGCTAGGCAGTGTGTACTTGGACTCAGTAGAAGCAGCATAAGCAATAGCCAAGCTGTACTAAATAACTAAATGAGTTGGTTGGTTGATTTTGTTTAGCGGCATATGACCCTCTATGGGTTATTTAATGCCGAAATCTAAATATTTTGAATGCAATTATATGCCTTCAACTACAGATAAAATATATCGTTGGTCATTTTACTATAAATATGTATTGTTGGTTGGTTGATTTTGATTGGCGGCATATCAACCTCTATGGGTTATTTAATGCCGAAATCTAAATATTTTGAATGCAATTATATGCCTTCAACTACAGATAAAATATATCGTTGGTCATTTTACTATAAATATGTATTGTTGATTGGTTGATTTTATTTAGTGGCATATCAACCTCTATGAGTTATTTAATGCTGAAATCTAAATATTTGGCACAAAATTTTATTTATTTATTTTTTGTTGGGACAATAGTTTTAGTGACACAAATCTTACTAATTAACCCATATCTAGAGGGAGAAGAGGTGGATTCATACATTTCCCAAGGTTATTTGTGAATGTGAATATGACGAACCCAACAGAAATTGGAACATGGCTTTCAATTAAAAACTCTGGGCCATTATTCATTGCACCATCTGCACATCCAAACCTGCAGCACCTGGTATTCCCAAGCAGTCACTCATCTAGATACTGGCCAGGCTTGATGTTGCTTAACTTAGGTGATCTTATGGAAACTGGTGCTTCAATGTGATGTGGCTGTAAGCCGAACTAGACGAGATATCCCCAGATATGGACAGTGGAATGAAAACAATCTAAAATAATAAAGAGTTCAGTTTGCAATTCCCTGTTGGTTACTCAGATCAGCATACACCTGATGAAGGCTATAGAGCACAACAGCCGAAACATTATGCTAATGACAACAAAAATGAGTATATCAGTCTGCATGTAAATAATGATAACTCCTCAGAGTGGGACACCATTCTTTATAAAGAATTGTGCTCTGTATGAACAACTACCAGTGCTTCATTTTCTGCCAAAACATGATTAAATTGATTTTTTTTCTGTTAAACCCTTTGTTGATTATTATACTCTTCTTCTTACTTCTGTTTGCATGTAACAAAGCCATTGTCACATTTCTATTAATATACTGAATAATTCTGTCTGAAAACTTAGCCAGCCGAGAACCAATTAAGCAGAAATTGTTTACGTCAGGGTGACTCGTCCTAACAAAACACCTCACATCTATTCTGATGATATACGTCAATTGGTAGTGCCACATTTTGAACTCTGACCTCTACAAAAGTGAGTACAAGCAAACCTCACTACTTCAATCAACACAGAATTCAGTTACTGTGATTTGGGAAATTATTTCCTTTTTATATGCATATAATTATTTGGTTAAAAGATCTTTCTGAAAATTTCGGGAAAGCCCAAGTTCAGTTAACATCAGATCATTCATATGATATTGTGTGTGGGTGGGGGTGTTCATTGATTGTCCCTGCATCCCCATTTATAACTTAAGCTACCATGACCTGGTCCTCCAAATGAACAGTGGGTTAGTTTTTAGAGAAGTGAAGGCCATAGAAAATGCATATATCTGTTTATTTTTTTTTTTTAATAAGAGAATACTAATGTTGACTACTTTTATTAGACTAATTAATCCAAATCAAAATTGCCAACATCATTACTTTTACACTTTAGGGACTATTAAGAAGTCAAACTTGAGAATTGTTTATATCCAAGACTGACCATGGGCAGCTAAAGTCATGAATACGGAAGACCAATTTAGTCCCACTTATTCTACTGATTGCTAATTGTGAATTTTTGTCTTATGTGAATAGGTTGAATTAACCACAAGACTCATAGGAAATTCTTAAGTGCATCTTTACAATTTAAAACTAGAATAGACAGAAAGTCATACATGTCTATAACATGGAAAAATAAAAAAGGTTCTGAAGAAGCTTATAAATCCTTAATGTAAAAAAAAAAAACAAAAAAAAACACTAAAACAAAATTATGAACATTATCATCATTAAATTAACTTTCAATAATATCATAAAATGCATTTTGTAAAAAGTTTATATATATATATATATATATATATATATATATATATATATATATATGAGAGACATACATACATACATACATACATACATGCACAAGAGGGTGTGTAAGGTATAAGAGGACATAAATTTTTTGGTTATTGCTTTTATTTTACTAAACTTTATATTTTTTTTCAGAAAATAATATGGCAAACACTCAGCTGACTCAAGAAATGAAAGTAATATCCAATATGAACCAAGACCATTTTATTTGAGCATGTAGACGATTTCAATCTCACATAGAAGCAGTTATTGAAGCTGAAGGTGGTTTTATTGCATGAAATTATAAAAAAAGATAATGTATTTTTATGCTTATAATATTTTTCAATAACAAAGTTATCTTTTGTTATGTATCTATTTTTCTATAAATATAAATCTGTCCTCAAATACATTACACAGTATATATATATATACACATCTTATGCAGTGTAACATTACAACATGCCCATATCCACTACAAAATTGTATCTTTTTGTTTCAACGTCAAAAAAGGGAAAACCTTTTTCAAATGACTCGTCAGGTGGAGAATCACGGTGTCACTGTTCGTTCTCCTACACTTTTTTTTATATATATATACACACACACACACACACACACACACACACAGAGGCTGTATCAAAAATACTTTTACAAACTTTGGGTGTGGGTTCCTCATATTAAACAAAGACAAACATCCATATAAACTATATGTCTGCAAATCGTTTGTTTTTGTGTTATTAAGTTTAAAGAAAGTTTATGGTAGATGGCATTGTGTTGTCATGTAGACTAGGTAACATTTGTCATTCATGTAGATTTGTGGCTAGTCTATCTTTGACATTTAACGTGTGTAGTAGCGAGTTAACTGAGAAGTGTTATGTTTAACAATGGCAGGATATTCACATCGTGAGCAGGCAGATATGATTTTTATGTATGGCCACGTGAAAGATAATGGATGTGAGGCTGCATGACTTTATCAGATTGCATTTCCAAACCAAAGACAGCTGAGTCATCCAAAGTTTGCTGCTGTTTATTGCTGTGTTGCAGAGACAGAATCTGTGGCACCACAAACTATGGTAATAAGTATTTTTTGATTGTATATTTAAACTTAATAACTTAAAAACGAAGTAAAAGAAGAGTCCTAATCTAAAAATTGGATGTGATGAGGAAGTCATACACATTTAGTATTGGATGCAAATTGTGCCAGAAGGAGAAATTGGCTATAATGCAGTATCTTGACCAACATAATCTGTTAAATGAAATATTGGAGGTGATGATGGCATGCAAGGATGCTATAAAGTTCCTCCGAACAAGCTATGAACCCGAATAGGAATATTTTTATTAAATATTCTGACACCTCCTCTTTACCTGCTGTTTTTGTTTATGTATCTAAGAGTATCTTTGGATTGAAGTTTCAATTTACTGCCTGTTGCTACAAAATTGATGGAAACTGCAGTAATAGGAAGATTGGTTTTCAAAAATTTGATATTCCATATACATAACAAAAAAATCTATGTGGAAGAACATTTTTACTATATATACAGTGTGCAATGAGTAAATTGTCACTATTTGATAATTTTAATTTCACACATGTATCTTGTTTGTTTTTTTTTTTATTTTGTCAACTGCACAGTATAGTATGGTCAGTTGAGCACTGTCTGTAAGATAAATAGCACCATGACACAATTCACTCCACCAGAAATTTGGAAACATCAATGCTGTACTGATTGGTATTCACGCTGGAAGTTCCAATACAAACATTTCAGAGTGTTTGGGTGTCAATCTGAGGACAGTGTAGAGGATTCAGAAAGAGTTGGATGAGTCTAAAGGTGACTAAAAAGGTGTTTGGAGTAATCACTAGTGATGTCAATGTTATGCTTCCATTCATCTTCCCATGGGACCTCAGACTCAACACTGAAGCCTATATCAAGTTATTTAAGGAAGTACTGCTGCCCTGGGTCAAGAGGTTGGCTGTTGGAAGACCCTATATCTGGCAAGAGGACTCTGCACCATGCTACACAAGCAGGAGAACCTAGTCATGGATGTCAGACAATTTCTTTGACCACACCACCTCATACATCTGGCCACCAAACCCCACAGACTGCAACCCCCTTGATTATTATGTATGGGGCACAGTTGAGTGAGAGACAAAAAAAATTCCTTGTAACACCAAAGATAAACTGAAGGCAATACTCAGCAACAAGGAGACCATCCAGAATAGTTGCAGAAGATTCCGAAGTTGTCTGGAGGCTGTGGTTGAAACCAATGATGATTTTATTGAATAAATTTACTTTTTAGTATTTCAACATTATTTGTGTATAATTTTGGTAAATATATCTGTTAAAATGAGATGTCAGTTTTATTTTCATTTTTGCATAATTTAGACAACAAATTATCCATTGCACAATATATATGTTGCAGATGGCATTTGGTAGGTCCCCATGTGTATTTAAATGAGATCTAATTGAGCTATGGTCAATATCAACCAATAATGGAGCAGTACCTCATCAGTTGTTTTTAATGAAACTTAGCATTGATAATTGTTCTGTAAGGCATATTTGACAAGAAGAACGGCATTGGTCATTAGGCAACAGTTGAGACGAGGGGACTATGCACGGCAGTTTAACTTTGTACGTTAGATGTATGCAATTTTGAGGCAAATGACAACTTCATTTTGTTAATGAGTGATGAAGCTCATTTTCATTTCAATGTCATGGTGAATCAACAGAATTGTTGTTATTGGGCTCTTGAAAATCCAAGAGAACTGCACAAGAGATCATTTCACTGGTATACTGTTGGAAAAGCTAACATCATTGGTCCTTACTTTTTTGAAAACCATAAAGGAAATGCTTTTACTGTGAACTCTGAGCATTACATCAAAATGATAAACAACTTCCTTGTGCCTGAATTGCAACAAAAATGTATTCTTATCTGATGTGTGTGGTTTCAACAGGATAGGGTGATGACCCACATAGCCAGACCATCAATGGACATTCTTAGCCTTCTCTTCGGTGACCGCCTCATTTCCAGGTTTGCTGACACTTCTTGGACCAATGTGTATGAACATAAGCCCCATACATTTGATGATTTTAAGGAAGCTATTCACATGGAAGTCGCCCAAATCAACAGAGCAATGCTGGGAAGAGTGGAGGCCAAGAATACCTTCAGAAATGCATCAATGAAAACGGACACCACATGAGAGATGTTGTTTACCACACTTGATTTTGTTAAATGCTAATTCAATACAAAAACATTGATGCCAATAAAAGTTTTTTGAAGCTAAAATTAATGATGTGAATTTTTCAAAAACGCCTCACCCTGTATATGCATTGAAATATTTTTATGAGTTTAAGAGGTTTTTTTTATTGTATTTGAGGCAAATTTTTATGACTTTGAGAAAGGTTGTTTTATTTTGTATTTTTTTTTGTTAATTAAGCATTTACTAACAGAATAATTAAAAAAGGGAATTGACATCTAAACTAATCTTGAGTTTATCAGTCATATTTATTACCTTTACAGAAACAAATAATAGATAACCTTTCCTCAATATAAATTGAAATATAAAAATAATTCTACTGTTGTGCCATAACTAGTTACATATTGTAGGAAATGAGCAAATGTAACATATGGGACAAAAGTAGAAATGGGTATTATTATTAATTAAGATGAAAATAAATT